AGGAGGTCCCCGCTGCCTCATCTTGTGCCAGGAGGAGCAGGCAGTAAGCACACACATAGACAAGCAAGTTTCCGAGGTCGGGAGAAGCGTGTTACAGCAACGGGGTAGAACAGAGCATGCTGAGGAGGCAGAGAAAGCCACAAGTGCTCACTGGGGACCAGAGCCAGCCAGGCGGCGTCCCTCCTGTTCTCCCAGCTGAAAACCAGGCTCCCAGACGAGGGCCTTGCCAGAAGTCCCATTCGTAGTGACCAGGGTTCGATGCGCGCGTGCTGGAATCCAGCTTCCAGCCTGGCAAGGCTGCGCATGCTCGTCTGCTTCCATGGGTTGGGAGAATAATGGGCTGTGAACTCCCGGGGGCCTGTCTGGGTTGGAAGAAACGTGAACTTGTAAGCCCAGCAGAGCTAGGTCTGAACTGCAGCTCTTCCACTTGCCGCTTTCCGGTGAGCAACTCGGTACACTCTGTATACCCCAAGTCACAGTGTACTCTCTGAGAGCAAGTGGTGAACTTTGTGCCTGGTACACTTTGCGGGGCGGGGGAGGGGGGGTAGTGATTTTAAGAAGTGCACACTGTAGCTGGGCTCCAGTGGCTCACACCTGTAATCCTAGCTACTGAGGAGGCTGAGATCTGAAGAACACGGTTCAAAGCCAGCCCAGGCAGGAAAGTCCTTGAGACTCTGATCTCCAATTAACTACCAGGAAACCAGAAGTGGTGCTGTGGCTCAAATGGTAGAATGCTCGCTTTGAGCTGAAGAGGTGAGGGACAATGCCCAGGCCCAGAGGTCAAGCCCACAAATGACCAAAACAAAAACAAAAAATGTACACACTGCAAGTCCACTGCCAGGACCAACCTGTTCCTGAAGGGAGGAGCCCATTGGTTTCCCTCCGTAGCCCCAAGACATCATATGGGGTACAGGAAGCCGGTGGAGGTGGGGGGGGGGGGCAGGGGAAGAGGAGCAGAAGCCCAAGAACCTCTGCCCAGAGGGGTGGGGGGAGGGGAGAATGGGCTGCAGAAGCATCTGGAGCCCTGACTGGGGTCTGATGGTCCTGGGATGTTGTGTGGAAGGGGGAGAAGGCAGATTCCAAGCCGATTGTGGCAAAGGGAAGGAAACAGAAGGGACTGGGTGTTGGGGGTGGGGGGCAGAGCAGGCCACTAGCCTGGGCGCAGTGGCTGCCTGAAGCCTCCACCAGGGAGCTGATGGCCAGCTAGGCAGCTGCCCTGCACCTACCTCAGTGTGGTGATTCAGCAGAGAAGGCAGAGGAACTCCCTGCCCTGAGTCCAAGGCAGCGATTCCGCCACTGCCCAGGAGGCACTGCCCCCAGCTCTGAGCACGCCAGACCCCTTTCAGTGTCCCTCCCCAAGTTCCCTCTGGAGCCTCGGGCAGCCTGGGAATGGAGCAGCAGGACCCATCAGCTCCCTGGGCTGTGGACAGACAGTCTGGGGTGAGGGCCCCTCCATTATGACCAGTGTCCAGCACTGAGGTCTGGACTCCAAGCGCATCCCTGCTGGCTGCTCCTTGTGTGACCTGTCATCAGCTCATCTCTGCCCTGTCTCGCTTTTCACTGCTGGGAAACCCCTTCCTCCGTTGACACGGGTGACATCGATAGACATGTACTCACAAAATGCTTCGCGAAACGGCAACTCCTTTGTGCAACGATTTAAAGATAATTTGAACAAACAAAAAGGAAATCATTTCCTCTCCTTTCCTGCATCTCTCTTTGCCTGAGAGTCCTTGCGGCCCCAAAAGTGCTGCGAGGAAGGGGTGCTTTGGGGGGGGGGCCTCCTGGCCCTCCCCTCCAGGGGTAGATGAGCCTGGGTGGGCTTGGGCTCTTTGGGGCTCCTTTGCCGGGGAATGCAGGGCAGGCTTTGATGCAGGTGGCAGGTTGGGCAACCAGGCGCCAGATATGGACACAGCACAGGACCCTGGCACAGACCTGGACCCCACGTTCCTTTTCTGCAGGTCCAGCGGGGTCCTGCTGTCTCTGACTGCTGTGAGTGCTCACATCAGGCTGACCGGCTCCTTCTGGGACCTTTCCAGTCCTGGGTTCAGGAGAACCGCTCAGGCCTGATCGACACCGAGAAGGGTTGTCTTACTTTCAGTCTAGTCTGGAATCAAAGGGAGGGCAGAGTGGACGAGGGCATGGTTTGGATAGACTAACAGGTTAAGCCCAACGAGTAGGCCTCAGTGAAGTCTCCCTCCCCAACCCACCCTGCCTCCTTCCCATCCCATGCTCAGAACCCTGGGCCCAGCACACACGGCAGCAGCCATCTTTATAAGTATATTTTTATTGAAAATAAAAAAGACATACTGCTTCTTTCCTTGTACATAGGACACAGCACCCCAGGGCTGCCACGCCCACTCCCTACCCAGAAGTCTCAGCGTGAACTGCCATGAACGGCTCGCTGGTGGACAAGACGGCGTCGACTTGTGTATTTGTTCGTTGAGACAGAACTCCGGGACCAAGTCCCCTCCCCCGCGCAAAGAAGGCAGGGCTGGGGTAATTACAATTCATGCAGAACAGGTGTCACGCTACCTGGGCTGTTGAAATCACTTTGTACAGATGCAGAGTACAGTTACTATATATATATATGTATGTATAGATATCTCTTTAAATATATATAGCTATATATATTTGTCTAATGTGTACACCTATTAGTCGTTCTTCCAGAACCTCCTCTAGAGGCCCCCACAGGAGCGCTGGGCAGCTCTGGGCTCTCCTAACTGCCACTGGGTTCTTATGTTCTTATCCCGTGCTCAAATGTGGCAGAGACATCGGAGAAAACGCAGCAACGGCCTGTGGGCTTCACTCCTGACCTCCATGCAGGGACTGAGACCAAGTCTGTGACAGACTCCCCTCCCCCCACCTCGGCCGGGACGGTGGGCTAAACACCAGGTGGGTCTCTTGCTGGGCCTTGTGTTCTTGGAATGGCCAGTCCTGGGTTTGGTGGGTAAACAGTACTCAGGTGAACCCTCTTGAAAAGCTAGGTCTTTCCCTTGGTTTTCTCTACTGGGGGAGACGGACTACAAGTTCCGCTGAGGGAGAATTGATGTGTGGCCCCCATCCCTGCTCCCCCAGAGTCCTGCCTGTCTTCACAGGGATCAAGGATGATGGATGACTTGGCCACAGTTCCCGCAGGTTAACTGCAAACTGGGAAAGCCAGACCCTGCCTACCCTTTCCTGACCCATCCCAGTACTCAAGGACGCCAGGGCCAGTGACTCCCCTCCGGCCCAAGTCACGGGTCTTCTACCCCATGAGACCTGAGGACTGGGGTCCTGCCTGCCCCGGGGGTGGGCACAGGCAGAGGTCCAGCGGGAACCAGGGGCTGCAGCAGCAGAGGCCAGTGCCCTGTGTGGGGCCTATGAGGCTCCGTTCCCCTTTCTACCCCTCACCTTCCTCCTCAGACCTATTTATCACCTGGTTCTGCTTCTTGAGTGCTCACCTGGGGTGGGGGGGCGGCAGGGAGCAGTTAAGGGCAAAGCTGTTGGCATTCCTGCTCTGATGCCCAGGTATGCTGGGAGGTGACATGTAAAGCCAAACTGAAGCAGAGGGCCAAAGCGAAGGAGAACTAAAGCCTGGGTCAGGACGATGCTACAGCCCTGCAGACGGAGGCTCTGGGATAGTGCGTCCTTTGGCCCCAATGAAGACTCACTCTCAGGCCTGTGAATCTTACCTGGGTGTGAAAGTCTCACTTGTAGCCCATATAGAGGTACAGCAGTGGCTGAGGGAGCAAACTGGATCCACCCAGCTAGAGGGTGCAACCATGGAGTGTGCCTGGTTGTTCCGGACAAGTGCAGAGGGCTGGTGTGGGGGGCAGTGGGGCCAAGAGTGTCTTCCCCACTTGCCAAGTGATGTACAATCACAAGGCCCCGCCACTGTGGCAGCCCGGTGCAAGAATGGTTGCCAGGCCAGGTCACCCGGGAGGAGTCCTCCCTCCCTCCCTCCTTCCCACAGTCAGTCAGAACGCTGGACCACAGGAAGCCTCCCAGGAGAGACACAGGAAGACAGCTGCCACCTCCCGGGGGCTCTGTGGGTAGCACAGTCAGGACTCGGGGTGGGGGGACTGTGGGTGGGACACAGTGCCGGGCCAGCAGCGACCTATCACAGTGTCCCAGTGGTTTTGGCACAAGTGGTGGCCTTTGCCTGGTCAGGCAGGGCCTGGCTCCTTCAGGGTCCGGTGGTGTGGGGCTGTCTGAGAGCAGGTACAAGGCCTCTGCTCTTCCCAGGCCATGTCCCCTGTGCCTGCTCCTAGTGAGTTCTGCAGGCTGGACCGTCAGACAGACAGGAGGCATGGCCTGGGGTAGGAGTGGGGCAGGAGGGCGGAGGCGGGCCTAAAGACGATGCCATGGGGGTGACAGACAGAGGTGTGGGGAGCACCTTTGAAGGGGATGTCTGTCTCAAGGCGGTGCTGATGGCTTCTGTTGGAATGTCCACAGAGAAGCATGTGGGCTTCCTGGAGGAGGAAGAGGAGAAGGAGGAGGAGGAGGAGGAGGAGGAGGAGGAGGAGGAGGAGGAGGAGGAGGAGGAGGAGGAGGAGAGAAGGAGGAAGGAGGAGGAGGGGAGAGGAAGGAGGAGGAAGGAAGGAGGGAGGAGGAGGAGGAGGGGAGGAGGAGGAGGAGGAGGAGGAGGAGGAGGAGGAGGAGGAGGAGGAGGAGGAGGAGGAAGGAGGAAGAAGGAGGAAGAAGGAGGAAGAAGGAGGAGGAGGAGGGGAAGAGGAAGAGGAGGAGGAGGAGGGGGAGGGGGAGGAGAGGAGGAGGAGGAGAAGAGGAGGAGGAGAGGTTTTCCAGGCTCTAGATCTGCTTTCTTGTGACTAACGGGGGTGTCTGCCTCCACACCCTAGGAGACAGCCAGACCCTCTGGGGACATTCGTGGGCCAAAGACAAGACAAAGAGGGATGTGGAGAGCCTCAGGCCATGCCACCACCCCAGGTGCTGCATGCAGGGGGGCTGCGCTCAGCCTGTCAGCGGTGCTGCCCAGCCAGGGCCAGCCTGGGAAGAGGATGTTTTCCTCCTTCAGGAGGCTCCGGGTTTACAAGGCATGAAGTCCCGGACGAGGCCAGGGTCAGCTGGTGCCCACCACCTTCCCATGTCCACTAGTGCCACGAAGGTGTCCTCCCGGCCAGGGGGTCCAGGCCTGCAGACTCACACCACCGCATTGTTCACATCCACCCCTTTGTTGCCCTGTGCAGAGCTCATGGGGTACTCAGCAACACTGGTGCCATTTTCTTCTTTCCTCAGTGGTTTCCTGGAAGGGGGCGAAGGCAGGAGGGGGGGGGAGGCACAAACAGGGTTAGTCATCGGCATTTGGGGGGGGGGGGGGGCTCCCAGCCCTCCAGGCCCTTAGGGATTAGTATCTTTGGACTGCTGGTCCTTGTGGATCAGTCAGAAGCTAGGTAAGATTCTAATTTAGCATGTCAACCAGGACATGGTTGAGGAGGGAAGGGGAGTGAGACCACATGCCTGAACTGAGGCTTTTCTAGGCAATTAATGTATGGTCAGCCCAGTAGGATCAAGCTTTGATCGAATCCTTTAATTACAAGCAGACAGTTAAAGGTGAATAGTTGGGAGTCCGGATGGTTAGAAGAGAGGCGTTAGTGACCGCGTTTTGCACTCTTGCCTCTGTGTGGCCAAAAGCAATAGAAAAATGTGATGAAGGGGATGTTGGTCACAAGAGGCTAGTGTTGGTGATGACGCTGACGGTGGTAGCTGTGTTGTAATGATGGCGGACGAGGCGGCAGAGGTGCTAGTGGTGGTCAGGGCTTTGGTGATGATGGTGTGGTGGCTGTGTTGGTAACCGTGGTAAAGGAGACAGTAGAGGAGCTAGTGCTGATGATGGCCCACGGTGGTAGTGATGATGGTGGTGGTGGTTGTATGGTAACCATGATGAAGGCAATAGTGGTGCTAGTGGGGATGAGGGCCATGGCGGTGGTGATGATGATGGTGTGGTGGTTGCACTGCTAACGTGGTAGAGGTGGTGGTAGTGCTGCTGGTGGTGATAGCAATGGTAGGACAGAAGACCAGTGGGGATGATGATGGTGAATTCCCACGCTCCATTCGTTGGTACACACCAGTGGCTTTGGATACTTCACACTGAATCATCTGAAGCTTGTCCCAGAGGCCATGGAGCCCCGAGACCATTTCCCCTCTGCGCACAGGAGGTCAGGAAGGCTGGGCAGAGCCTTTGCTCTTGCTTGCTTGCTTGCTGAGGTCTCTGTACAGTGCCTGCTTCTGGCCTGGCTCGTTCAGACTCTGACTCCTACCCTGCATCCCGCACCCTGCCTGTGTTGTGCGTCCTGTGGGGCTCAGGGGCACGGTGCCCCATTGCTGCCTCCTGGGTGGATAGGATTTCCCATGGGGCCATCACTCATGTCCCCAGAGGTGCTGGGGTTGAGCCAGGCGGACTGCAGTTGAATGCTGTTTAAACTGAGTATTTATGGCGATTATCAAAAGCCCAAGATGGATTTGTCTTAAGTATCCCCAGAGCTTCCCAAAGCAATCGTGGTACTTAGTGACACGTTCGAAGCCCATAGGAAAAAGGCTGTGTGAGTGAGCTGAGGGGAGAGAGGAATTCCAGGAGACTGTCGGCGGTGTTCTGAGTGGGATCACCCGGCCTCAGTCAACACACTTTTCTTTGTGAGAAAAGTCACCCCCTGCAGCACGAGAGGGGACATCAAACCCCTCAAAGCACGGTGCAGCGTGCTTTATATAAAACACTCGCAGTAGAGATCGCCTTGTCTCTCCTCACTCCTCTGAAGCAGCTAGGCTGGAGCTGGAGGTCATTTCATGGGGAACCTGAGGCTTACCGAGGGCTCTGACTGCGGAGGTCCTCCAGCTAGACTGTGGTGGAGCCTTGCTCATCGTCACCCACTACTACTGTCTGACTGTCCTAGTCATGCTCACGAATGGGTTGGCATTCCCAGCAGCTATTCCCCAAGACACAGGAAAGCCTCCTCCACTCCTCAGAGATTCCCAAGGGCCCGGAGGCTGTCAGCTGCATTCACCTTTAACCCTGGACGCTCATCACGCCCTATACCTCATTTATGGAGCTGCTCACTGATCTCTGCCAGGGCAGGGGCGTGAGGTCACATGGAGGGCTCTCCTGAGAAGTGGACTCCACTTGCTTCTCCCCTGGCACCCAGGACACATCCTCTACCAATGTGCTCCCTGGGCTGTGCCCCAACGCTGCTCCCAAACCTGTCAGGTTTCCGATGAGAGCTGGATTTTCCTGGAGCAGAAGATGACTCTACCCCTGTCCCCGACTTCCTCCCTTCACGGCATTGAGTGGCTGACATGGCATGCATGCTGCACCACCTTTCTGAGCCTCTGTTTCCTCATCTGTGAAAATGAGCATGACCGTGGCGCCCACTTAGCAGGCTTGCTGGGATGATTAGACACGTTAGTGGTGTCCAGCGCATGGGCGGGTCTCCGGCATAGGTAAGTACACGTTAGCTCTCAGCGCTGCTGTGGGAGAGGTGTCGGCAGGAGGAGCTGTGCCCTGGGCAGCAAAGGCCACAACGCTCTGGTCTGCCGGGGCAGCCTACCTAACACGCCCTCTGAGGTTCCAGAAGTGCTAGGGGGAGCTGGCCTGGCTCCAGGCTCCTGGCGGGCCAGTCAGGGGTGGTCCCCTTAAGCCCAAGAAAGACATTGCCACCCGGGTCCAGGCAGAGATGGCCACCCAGAGCTCCTTAAATGGCATGGTTCCTAAAACCAAGAGAAAGGCGAGTGAGCTTCTCCCTGGCTGTGCCCAGGGGTCCTGGGAACGAGGGAGCTTGGTCCCATCTGGAGACCTCTTGTCCGGACCTGGGCCTGGCTAGCCACAGCTGCTCCATGCTGTCCTCTGGCAGGACGATGCCCAGAGCTCCTGCGGCACAGTCTCGAGGGACTTCTGCAGAAATGGTGTCGCCTGGCATCTCCGAGCTGGGCGGGCAGAGCAGAACCCAGGGGGCTCTCTTGGGTCCCACTGCTAAGGAGATGACAACTTCACAGGGGAGAGGGTAGTCCTGAGCAGCCTGCTGAGGGAGGGGGGAGGGAGGGGGGAGGGAAGGAGGGGGAGGCTGCCCAGCTCCCTTCCTCTCTCACTTGCCCCAGCACAGGGTCTGCTTTGATGCAAGTGTCAGGACCCAGAGGCCTCCTTCCCAAGATATCCGTTCTCCCCACTGCCCAGGATGGATAGCGTGTACATGCACGGGCGTGCACGCATGCACGCGCGCACACACACGCACGCACACACACACCCCTGCATGCACATACACCACTGAGGTTCACTGTGTGGCTCCTCTAACTGTAGATTTACTGTAGACAACACATGTCCTAACTCCAGACCAAATGGGGAGCCCCAAGGGCCCCCCCTCATATTTGCTGATGATGGAGGCTCCAAGGCCCTGGGGCCTGGAGGAAGGTGCACAGATGGAGGGGGCTGGGTGCCTCCCTGCTGCTACCTCTCACCTCCAAGCCCTTCTCAGAGCTGAGCACCTCAGTCCGGTCAGGACCGTGCCTGGCAATGATGGTGAGAAACAGCAGCTCCTGAATCTCAAGGGAAGCCTGTGGGAGAAATGTCAAACCTAGACAGCAGGGACACCAGTGAAAGAGCGCTGGCCCTAGCCACAAGACTGATTCGTATACTGCAACAAAGCCAGAATCTAGACTGTCACCAAGGCACCAAAGACATCCGAAGGGCTCTGAGCAGCCAAGGCCATGGTCAGTGCCCAGCATTTGACCAGAAGAGGCCCTTCCTGGCCCTGCATGAACTTGGACTTGACTCTCGGTAAGAGAAGCTGTGCTGATTGGATACTGGGTGAGAGAGACAGAGACTGAGCCTGAGGACATCTGGGGAGTAGGGCTAAAGAACATGCCCAGCAGGGAGATGGGACAGGTGGGTGTCTCTGCACGGGCCCCCACCTGGCCACAGATGCTTGGTTCCATGAGGTAACCCCGTGCCATGGCCCCAGGGCTCCAAGACACTTCAAGGTGAGTTCCATGCTCCCACAATTTGTGGAGAGCTGAGCATGGATGGAGAGTCCCAGTCCTGTCCTGTCCTCCCTGCTAGCAGGGACCACAGTGTGCATACCAGAAACTAGGGGAGCCAAGACCACAGAGGGCCCGGGAAAGGGGTGCTGGTGAAGGACTGGGGGCTGGGCATTGAAAACTGGACATGTTCTCCATTCCCAAGCCAGGTTCTAAGTCACTCTTCCAGAATGGAGCAGGGGCGGAGGGAGTTAAGTGTGCTGGGATTCTACAGAGCACTTACCAGATTAAAACCTGCGGTCCAGGATGTCTCTGTAAACAAGTCTCTATTCAAGCCTCAGGAATAGCCACCAAACAGTCCCTAAAGGCCAGGCACTGTGCCAGGCACAAGTCAGAAGAGATAACTGAAGCCACCTGACACGCGTGTGCACACACCCTCAGACACGCCTGCGTGGGCCCACGCGTGAACCACCCTTCCCTCAACAGAGGCAGAGAGCAGTGACCCAGGGCAGGGAAGACAGACGGAACTTGCTTTCATCTGTGAAACAGCAGGTTGACCCTTCACCTTGGACGCTTATAGTGGCTCAGACTCTGTAGGAACCTCATTCCCTCCCCTCTCTCTGACAGTCCAGTTTTGGGGCGGGTGGGGGGGTAGGGGAATGCCACAGGCTCAGTAAGAAGGAGCCCTTCTTTGCGCCACCCCAAATCTCCAAAGAGAAAGCACCATTGTCACATTGACAATGAATGTCTAGTGAGTCTATAATCCAGGGAAGAATTCAAGGGGAGCTGGTGCCCAGGTGGCAAGGGGCGGGGACCGAGGGCAGAGTGTGGGGCGAGCAGGGAGCCCCAGTCCGCCCTGCAGGGGGTTGGGGTCTCCTGGAGACCCTGGAAGCCGCGTATTGATCACATCTCCAGGAGGCACTGTGGCTCCAGAAGGAACCAGCACAGCATGCTAAGCGGCTCAGCCACATCCAATATGGACACTGTCATGCTAAAGTCAATTTCCAGGTCTGCTTCCCCCCTCCCCCAGGGGTGTCTGTTAGGTACAGGTACAATGGGAGTTGAGAATTAAGGGTGCTGACCTTGCTGTGTTCCGTAGCGGAAAGTCAGTACGCACTGTTTAAAAACCACTCTGCACCCTCCAAAGGCAAGCACATGACGCCCCCAGGCAGGGAGAGCTGGACCCCTCCCTTCCTCACTATAACCTGCCTTTTCTCTTCATAGACCTTGCTGTCTTCTGGAGCAGAAAGTCAATAAGCACTGTTTAAATAGCTGCCTGCCAATCACTTAGAATCTACGGAGAAATACCAAAGAAAGCAATTAAAAGTGGCTGCCTGGACAGGTGCTGCTGGCTCACGCCTGGAGCTACTCAGGAAACTGACATTTGAGGATCAAGGTTTGAAGCCAGCCTAGGTATAGAAAAGTCTGTGAGACTCTTATCTCCAATTACCCAGCAAAAAGCTGGAAGTGGAGCTGTGGCTCAAGGGATAGAATGCCAGCCTTGAGTGAAAGAGCCAAGCCCTGGTACTGGCAGGCATGGACAGACAGACAGACACACACACACACACACACACACACACACGTCTGCCTCTCAAGGGGACTAAGGGAAGAGGAGGTGAAGGCCAAGGACTATTGTTTTTCTTCATAGCCTTCGTGGAACGATTTGCCACTTGGGAACTGCATGTGTGTGTGATTACTCCAGTATGTATAAAAACTAAACTAAAAAGGTGTATGAAGCCAGCAGAGCCCTAACCTCACTTCTTCATCACGCAGCACCCTCCGGAGGCACGCACCGACACCCCGAGTCTGGGTGGAGAAAGCTGCCCCCTCCTTCCCTCACCACAACCTGCACGTTCTCTTCGTAGCCCTTACGGTCTTTCATCCTGTTCCCTCTGGTAGTTTGCTGGTCTTGTGCTTAATCCCCTCCTTCCACTCACAAAAGGCGGGGGTCCTGGGCACCAGGACGTACACAGTGAACACATACGGACCAACACGGACGTCCTGAGCAGCCCTGTGCCAGCCACTGGGCTTCAAGGCCCCAACCATGAGGTAAAAGCTTCTACTACAAGTGGCTGTGAACAGCCGTGAACGCCAGAGCTGAGCCCAGGGGAAGGGGTGCAGAGCCTCAGTCTGGAGCGCCGAGTCTCGTCTTCAAATCTTTGCCGAAAAGCTGACCAGATCGCCCCCTGCAGCCAGGCCACAGATGGCAGGGCACTTTGGGGGTACTTCCTGAGTTCCCCTGAAGACATCCTCAAATGTCAACCTGGCATCTCTAGAATCACCTTCCTAGCCAGTTCTAGAACCTTCCACTTGCGGTAGGGCCATTTAACAAAAATGGCTTAGAAAAACTACCTTGGGACTTATGGCTGTGAGGGTTAAAAAAAATCCTGTTTAAAGAGTGGGGTGTATTATGCAGCCATTAGAAATGACAAAATAATGGCATTTGCAGGGAAATGGATGGAGCTAGAAGGAATCATGTTGAGCGAGGTAAGCCAAGAACGAAGAGACAAACGGTACATGGTCTCCCTGATAAGTGGATGCTAAATCCAAAATGTTAGGTGATACGACAAAACTAACAGGACTTAAGAAACAAAGAACTCCCGCTCATCTGGTAGAACCACTACTAAGTATCCCCATGCTGCTGATCACAAATATGGTATATAACATGTGAACACTGTTATATATTACAGACTGTGGTAGACAATTTGCTCCAGGGAAGTTAGAATGAACTTGTGACTTTGAAATTATGTAATCACTTAATCACAATCAAAAAAAAAAAATAAAAAGAACCTCGGGGAAGGAGGGAGGGAGGGGATGGTAGGGGGAAAACAATGGAGGGGGTAACAATGTTCAAGAGGAAGTGTACTCATTACCTCACTCATGTAACTGTAACCCTCTGTATAGTATCTTTACAATAAAAAAAAAAAAAGAGTGGGGTGTACTGCTGCATTTGTCTTCCGACTGTTTTCCATGGTGAGAGAAAAGGCGTGTTCCAAATGAATGTGCGCAGTGACCAGGGTGGTCCCTGGGCAGTGCCGCACTGCCGGCTTGCTCTTCCAGGCGGTGAGATGGGCTCTGGGGGTGGCCTTGTCTACAGGTAGGAACGTCCTTCTCCCCCAGGGCTCAGCCTGCTTTCACCTTCCCTGCAGAGCCCCTCCTGACACTCAATACCCTCCTGCGCCGGGGACTCTCCCTGGATTGCAGGCGGAAGGCTGAGTGGAAATGGCTGGGCTGCCGCCTCTGCTACCCCCAGCTGCCCATTCTCTCCCTGCCCTGTGCCTCAGGAAGCTGGCCTCAGCTGGCTTGGTTCCTCTTGGACTGGGGTTTGGCCATTTGAGTCATCCATGGAGACTCAAGAGGTAGCAGAGGTTGGGAGAAGATCCAGCCCTTCTTCCCTGTCTTGGGAATACATCTGGCAGGTCCAATCACAGGCCCAGCTGGAAGTCCTTCTAATGTGTGAGCCACTCCTGCTCTCAGAAGGCACCCATGGCATAATTTTCTAGTCTTTCCTCTCCCTAGGGTGCTCACCATCCCCACTGCTCTATTCCCAGCCAGTTTTGTTGCTTGTACCAGCCAGCGGATATGCCTAGAGAGATGTCCTAGACCAGAGCCACGCCCACCCCCGGAGGAGCCACACCCACTCCATAGTAAGAAAGCCTCTCCTGGGAGAGGCTGGGAGATGTGGTACAGACGTATTAATGGGAGTCAGTTCTGCTACATTCCCTTCCTCTCCTCCAAAGGCAGGAAACCCATTTCTTCAGGGGAGCTTGGGGCAGGAAGTGGGCCCAGCTGTCTCAGTGTGCCTTTCGGAAGCTCTGAATCTATGAAAGGTTAGGCTGAGCATCTCCCAAAGATGAGGAGGGACTGGCAGCCAGGGCCGCAGTGCTGCACTCTCCCCTGAAACCCTCAGGCTCCCACAGCCCAGTCACAGGCAGCCTGCTCAGCCTGGAATCAGAGGCTCCCCAGTCAGGTCCCCGGGGGGAGGGGGCAGCTCCTCCTGGGGCCTGGGAGCGCAGGCCCATGCTCTGCTCCTGAAAATCTTCCTAGTCCAGAAGTTCATTAGCCCCGACTCTGCTGAATTCACTATTTCTCCTCAACAGCCACCGCAGCCACTAGCTCCCTTCCCAGCCTCAGGGCTTCTAGGTCCCTCCTCCCTGGGGTTACTTAGTAATAGCAGAGCCTGAGTGGGATCTCGCCAAGGCCAAGGCCCTGCCCCGCGGTCTCTGTCTGCCTGTCCTTGTGGCGAGGTAGGGAGGGGCAAGGCACCCTGCACCAGTCCTCAGAGCCCCTTCTTCCACAGCCCTGAGGACAGACGGGACGTGGGGGGGGGGGGGGGGGGCGGGCGGGAGGATCTTCCTAGCCAGAGTGAGAGTTGAACTTATTGTGAACACCACAACACCGCTCGGTGACCAGGGCTGGGCTTCAGTTCTAGGTTCAAAGTCTGGCTTCACGCTCCCTGGTTGTGCCATCCTCTGCACAGCAGCTCCCTAACTGTGAGAAGGTGAGAAGGTGAAATGGGAGGGAACACTGGGGAGAGAGGAGTCAGCGCTGGCTGGGGAGCGACGGGAGGGAGCCACAGTCTCCCTGTCTCTTGGGAGTGTGCCTTAGCCATCTCTCTGCAGTATAGGAGGGCTTTCCCTGGGAAGCACAGCCCTGGGCTGGGCCTGTCCAGTGTGGCAGTGCCCCCTGGTGTGTGGGTCTTCTGCCAGGCGCTGGAGGCAGGCTGATGGCTTTTCATGGCTCTCAAACCATGTGTAGATCAATTGCTTGTTGTAAGATGTGTGTGTGTGTTGCTGTACTAGGGCTTGAACTCAGGGTTTGTGCACCGTCCTTTAGCTTTTTTACTCAAGGCTAGCACTCTACCACTTGAGCCATAACTCCATTTCTGGCTTTTTGGTGGTTAATTGGAGATAAGAGCCTCATGGACTTTCCTGCCAGGGCTGGCTTCAAATAGCAATCCTCAGATCTTAGCTTCCTGAGTAGCTCATATTACAAGTGTAAGCCACCAGTGCTTGGCTTGTTTTTAAAGACTTTTAACTTGATATGCTTGCCTTGCTGTATTTGAATGGTTAAAGAATGAAAAAAGGATGTGTTTAAGTGTCACAATTATTCTTTGGACCTCAGTAAATTAAGGGGAAAAAAATCTTTCTTCAAAATACATGATCAACCCCCATTCCCCTGTGGTATTTTACATTTATTGCACTGCTCTGAGCCTGACCTATTACTCCCCTAAGCCTGACAGGGGCTGTATTCCCGAGATCTGCTTTACAATAGTCTAGTAATAAGAAAGAGTGAGGGGTTCCGGGGGAATGGTTATGGTAGTTACAGTAAAAAAAAAAAAAATCTTGCTGGGTGCTGGTGGCTCATGCCTGTAATCCTAGCTATTCAGGAGGCTGAGATCTAAGGTTTGCAGTTCAAAGTCAGCCTGGGTAGGAAAGCCTATGAGACTCTTGTCTCCAATTAACCACCAGAAAACCAGAAGTGGTGCTGTGGCTCAAGTGGTAGAGAGAGAGAGTGTGTGCCTTGAGCTGAAGAGCTGAGGGACAGCGCCCAGGCCCAGAGTTCAAGCCCTATGACCGACCAAAAAAAAAATCTTGGCCATCTCTGGGTGAGGGTAGATGGGAGTTCATTATACACTCTGTGCTTAATCATATATCTTAAAAAAAGAAAGTGACGAATGGGCGGAAGAGCGCCCAGCCCGCCGGGGTCTCCGGGGCACAGAGCCAGCACGGTGGGTGAGCACTCACCTTTTTATGGCTTTGTAGCAAATGATGACAAGCACGGTGAGAAACACGAGGGAGGCACAGCATACGGCGATGACGATCACCAGCCCCGACCACCAGCTTTCCTCAGTGGGGCACGAGGTAGAGTTGGGAGCTGGAAGAGACAGGAACAGCCTGAGTCTCCCCAGAGGAGCGGGGCGCAGCCAGTGTCTGAGGTGCGTCTGTCTCTGCGGCCATCCAGCCATCCATCACCCGGAGGAAGGCCCTCTGACCTTTCCTGTCTCTGCCCCCACCCCAGGCAGCTGACATCATGGCTGGCCCCCAGCCAGGCGGTTCCTCTCCCCTCCTTTGTGGCTCCATCCTGGCCCTGGAGTGCGCTGAGCGCTGCCCGGCCGTCCATCCTCCCAGGCATGAGCTAACTGACAGCAGGGTCAGGTTTAATTTCCCATGAAAAATAACAGAACATCTCATTCTCTCAGTTGAGGCATTAAATCCGGTTCTTCTGCAGGTGGGGGCGGGGAGCTGGGCTCACAGGGGACGCTGGGGGAGGAAGGAGAGAGAAGGAAGCGGTCAGTGTCGGCGTGGAGGCTGGCTGTCTGATGTGTGGCTCCTGCCCAGGTGGTAGGCACCTGCAGCTTCCTGTGTGAGCGGCGGCAGGGAGGGGAGGCCAGTTGGAAATGTAAGGACGCCCTTTTGCATCCGCTGTGTGAGGGACCCCTGAAGCACGCATGTCAATGGGCCCATTCACTTCCCTCTGAGAAAAGCGAGGACATCCCCAACCATTGGCAAGACCCAAGGAGGAAGCATCTAGAACTGCAAAAGGGATGGGAGTAGGGGAGAAAAAAAGAGAGGCAGGGAAGGGCTGGGGTGCAGGATAAAAAAGCAGCAAGCGATGGACAGACAGACTCACTCAGGGCAGGTCCTCAAGATATGTCAGACATGCAAATGATCGGAACTGTGCCCCACTCGGTCCGCTCGGAACTAGGCACCCAGGGGCTGCATGTGTGTGCAGGGTCAGGTGGAGCACTGCGCAGGCACAGCGTGGATGGTCTTGTGTCTGTGTCCACCATGAGTACCCCCTCTGACAGCTGGGCCGGAGGGAAGCACAAATGGGAGCTACACCCCATTTGGGCATTTCCAGCACTTTCTAGCTCATCTGTACCCTACTCTTCTGCAACTCCTGTTCTGATTTCTAAATTCACACATTAGACTTGCTTGCTCCTGACATCCATATAAATGCAATGCGTGCAACAAACATTCCTTTCTGTCTGCCTCCCTCCCTTGACGTAGTGGTTTGAGGATTCACCTGTGCGATTGCACAGTTCAGTCATTCCTTTCTATTGCTGAGTAATATTCCACCGTGTGGGCGTGCCACAGTTATCTAGTCTCCTGTGGGCAAACTATAAAGTGTTCCCAGGTTTTTGTCCAGCATGAAAAAAAGCTGCTGCAAACATTTGCATGCAAGTCTTTGCACAGACAGGTTTTCATGTTCCTCTTGGATGAGCATAGCAGTGGCAGCTCCGGGTCCCACAGAGTGTGCGTGATCGATGATGCCCTGAGGAACTGCCAGGCTGCTTTGCCCAAGTACTCATACTTTCGTGCCCTGCTTCCTTGTAGAGCCAAGAAAACGGGTGAGAGAAAATTAGAGAGCTACTGAGATGCTACTGAACTCAGCCGGGCCAGAGCTCCAGGAAGCCATTGCCTGGTGCCTGGGGGATTGATCTGTGCTAAAACCCCATTAACAGATGCAAAGCCCAAGGGGCAAACCTCAGATCCTCCCAGACCCCGAACAAAACTGGTGAAGCCTTCTGCAGAACGGCAGGACCAGCACATCACCAGCCGCTCTCAGTCTGGCCCGAGAAACGACCACAGCAAAGACACAGAGCCCAGAATTCAAAGCAGGAGCAAACGCTGAAGTGAACTTGTCTAAGACTTGACACCAAACTCCAAATCCTTCCTTTCGCTTCCTCATTTGGGGGTGTCTCTGACTTGACGAGACCTTGCAGGGTGCCCTGGCGCCGACCCACCTGCACACACCACCGTGGGAGAGTGGTTCCCTCCAGGCTTTCTCTGTCCATCCGGGCTCCACCCCCAAAAGACGTGCCCCATCTTCACTGCCAACGCTACTTTTGGTGATGATCTCAGGCTGCAATGCCTCTGGGCAAGTCTGGACCACAGAAGATTGCCTCCCCCACCCCATCCTGGGGCTAGGAAGAAAGAAATCTACCAGTGTGCAGTCTTGGCCAGGGCCTGTACCCCAGTCTAATAGCACTTGGAAATATGGGGATTGGGTAATCCTAGAATCTATGGATGTTAACGACATGGGAAAAAATATTTAGATGTAAGGAAGAATGGGTCCATCGAAGCCCCCATGTTCATCGGCTTGGGGGGTTCTGTAGCACCCCCAAACCTGGCGGCTGATCACGTCATCTCTTTGCTTTATGTTCTGTTATTGGGGTGGGGGTTCTTTTTTACGGTCACTTCTCAAGTCACAGCTGACGCTGACGGCGCTGAACTGTGCCCATGTCCTTCTACTCAGTCCCCTCTAGTACTTGGCAGGCCAGACCAAGAGCGGCTGGTGATGTCCTGAGCAGACTGGGGACTCAGATTTGAGGAGACAGCGCCTTGAAGGTGCTCATTCGCTCACTCATTCATCCGACATACACTGAGCATGCCTGGTGCCTGGCACCATGCTGGGAGCTGGAGATACAGCGATAAATCACACATGCGCCGTGCCCTTGCAGGCCTGGCGCCAGCTGTGTCTTGGATCATTACAGAGCTGACTAAGACCCGCTCATCTTGCTCAAGGAGCCAGCAGTCTCCAAAAGCTGCGACATGATTTGCTGATAGGCCAGGCGAAGGTCAACTGGAGAGGGGACACCAGGTGTTCAGGTGGTGCTGGCGGGGTGACGCCGGGGAGGAGCAGGTGGCCAGACAGGAGAGTCTGCGACACCAGTACTGTCACGAGCCCAAGTAAGGGCACCCCAGCCTCTGCCACCTCTGAACATGACAGCGGCCGGAGCTGCCCACACACCGCGGCAGGGGCCACACCCCCTCCCCATGCTCAGTGAGGCTAGGTCTGCTGACTTCAGTACACACTTGTGACACCTGGAGAGATGGTGACGGGCAGGCCAGCAGAGAGGGCAAGTTAGAAGGACCCAAGCTCATGTTTGCTCTCTCAGGCAAGCCTCATTCTTTTCAGTTAAGAAATGCATCAGTTCCAGGCACTGGTGGCTCACTTCTGTAATCCTAGCTACCCAGGAGGCTGAGAGCTCAGGATCACAGTTGAAAGCCAGTTTGGGCAAGAAAGTCCATGAGACTCTCATCTCCAATGAACCAGCTGAACACTGGAAGTGGTGCAGTGGCTCAAAGTGGTAGAGCACTAGCCTTGAGCAAAAGAGCACAGGGACAGCGCCCAGGCCCTGAGTTCAAGACCCAGGACTGACCCCCACCTCACCCCACCCCCCCAAAAAAAGGAAAGAAAGAAATGCATCAAGCTGGGCACCCACTCATGGCTCACGCCTGTAACCCTAGCTACTAGGAGTCTGAGATCTGAGGATTGTGGTTCAAAGCCAGCCTGGGTAGGAAAGTCCGTGAGACTCGTAACTCCAATTAAAAATACCAAAAAGCTGGAAGTGGAGCTGTGGCTCAAGTAGCAAAGTACCACCCATGAGCCAAAAGCTCAGGAAGAGCACCCAGATCCTGAGTTTAAGCTTTGTAACATCTCCTTCCAGCCAAGAAGGGGGACCAGAAGCCACGTAAACCCCCAGAAAACAAGCCACACGTGATTCTCTAAATAGTGAGGATCAGCAAACAACGATTCCCCAAGACACGAGAGACACAATGAATTGTGTTGGGCAGGGAGAGCCCTGGGGCCCTGGCCAGCTGTGAACAGGGAGAGGCAGTCACCACTACTAGGATGGAGGAGTAAGGAAAGCCAACAGCAAACAATGATGGTGTGGAGACCTGATTACACCTGGCGGAGAACACCATAAAAAGAAACAGAAGAGAAGCCAGCGAGGTGGGAGCTTCAGGTGAGCCTCTTATTCAGAGTCAGGGGCGATTCTGCGGGGAGCTTGTGGGTTCCCCCAAATTCATACAAGAACGGTGTCTGGCCAGACGGACCCTTCGGCTGCTCTCCCTGTCTGCCTTCCTGTGAGTCCAGTGGTAACTTCAAAGCACACAGCACAGGTAGGCATCATGGAGCCTGGACAAATTATACTCTGCTCTACAGTGAGGAAACTGAGGCTACATAGGCCCAGCCCAGCCCTGGAATAGCTAAACGTTGGGAATCTGAGGTCCGAGGGAAGCTGAGCGCTGAGTGACAGGAGGGAAGTGTTCCCGCGAGAGGGATGAGCCAGTCAGAGTTGCTGCAGGCTTCTGGAGACAACACCACGTGCAGTAAGGTATCATGCAGCCATGCAGTCACACACACTTGTCTGGAGGAACGGGGTGACAGCCACGTTATTTCTTTTAAAGCTATTTTGCATCTTGAGCTGGAGGCTTTATCTGTGACTCAGCCTCCTGACCCTGCATGTGGCCACCAGTGGAGAGGCCGGCTGTTCCTTCACGCAGTGCCCTTCCTGAGAATAGCCTGCACCCTGGGCCCCGCTGGGACCTGGGGGGCATCATTAGATGTGCCCCTCTTCACTTCAAACTCCGTGGTGACTCATGCCCAGGCTGCCTAAGTGGCTGCCTGACTGCACTGTGGGGAAATTCGACTTACTTATGGCCAGGTGAGGAAGGCTTCCTGCCTTGCCCAGCCCCACAGGGTCTCTCTACCTACTTGGCCAGCGCTGCCTCTGTGATGGAGGTCAGTTCCTGTCTCATCCCATGGGCCAACGTCCACGATCCTGTCTCCAAACACAGAGGTCAAAGGCCAGAGCTGCAGGGCTGAGCCTGGAGTTATTGCTCTGTCTTAGGGTTAGCACCCCAGACATGTGGCAGGAGGAAAGCTTTCCCTCAGGGAAGGCCTAATCTAATTACAATCTGCCAATGGCCATTCAGATATTTATACCATCACTTGTGGGCCTTACAAAATCATTAACACAAGATGGCCACGGGAAGCTGCGGAGAAGCATCCACACTGGTCCCATCTCCAGGTTCTTATCTAGCCCCTGGGCTGAGCACGGTCCTCCTCTGGAATGGGCACAG